TCTCCATTACCCTACATATTACAGAAGTGTAATGTCATAATTCTGTTGCATGAATGCAAATCAGCACTAATGCAGGCATAACATCGAAAGCCGGTAATCGCTGCTTGCAGCTATATTTATTATTATTATTATTATTTACAGTAAAGTCACCTCGCCAAATGCAGTCTGCCAATCATCAGCTTTCACATTGACACTTGTATTATATTTCAGCTTGGGCGACTTGGTCAGTGTGAGCGTATGCTGGTCGCTATTGAGCTGGCAGGCTGGTTGAATGAATCTAACATGGCGTTGCAAGCAGTTGTACAGTGTTATGGATTATTGGCACCTATGCTACATTATAAAATACCATCTATTCCAACTCTTCAGGTAAGGTTATTCGTCTTGTTTCAAATCATTGCTGATTTTAGTATTTATTCTGACCAAATCACTTAGTATTGCATAAACTAATTTGTGCATTACGCTGTCAGTTGATGCCATGATTCACAATTCATCATGGATAATGGTGTTCCACCTCTTTTCCATTGAAGTGATGAATTTGGAATTGCAGCTTTTGCAAAATATATCCAGTATCATTGTAGAACCCAGCATCCAGTCAACAAGACTGCAGTTCTGATCAGCATTGTAAGTTTACGAAATACATAACCATGCAACTCTTTCTATTACATGATAGGTATTAATGCGATGCCAAGCTGTCCTCAACGAAATCCCCATCAGTTTACGTATTCGCCGTCAGGTCAGCATCAATGACAGTCTACACCACATGATAGCTACTATTACTTACTATTTAACTAAAATATTGAGAACCACATGGAAACAAAGACACGTCGCCAATAACATTGTGGAAATGGGCAAAAAGATGCTAAAAGAAGCCACCAAGGTAAAATGTTATGACCTACTATAGCTGCATAGAAATCTAGTGATAAGGAACATTGATATTATTTAGGATTAATTAATGCTAATTTTCTTGATTTGTTTTTGACAACAGGAGAAAGATGGTCAAGGGAAGGAAGTTGCTGCTGTGGATACTGTGGATAGTGTTGATGCACTTGGGGGAGCACAAGCTTCTAAGAAGAAACGACCAAGGCGACAAGGACAGATGACTTATAACATAGAGGGCCCTCAGAATGAGGAACTCAGAGCCCTGGAAGCTCACATGTTGAAGTTATCAAAAATGGGTAAATTCATTATAACTCAACTATCGGTAATATCTATTTAAGTTTTTTTTTAACTATATTTCACAGATGTAGCTTTTCATACAATTTTGTTTGTTTGAAGTCACTTTACATTGTAGATTATCATTTGCACTGGTAGTTCAATTATAAATTGATGTACCACTGCTCATGCAGTGTAGTGCCACCTAGTGGCAGAACTCTTAACTTTTGTTTTTCTTTTTCGCCAATCTTTTTGTTTCTAACTCTCCCATGTTTTCTTGGTTTCAGCTCAAAGTACAGATGATTTGACTGGTTCTGAAGATCCCAATCTACTACATGCATACATTGCTGCCTTGCCAAGTAGACATGCTTACAAAGAAGGTAATTTATTGAGCAATTAAGAACATTTCTGTGAGATAATCAGCTCCTTTCTTTTGCTCCAAAACAAGCCAAAAATTTGTATTGGGCTTTTTGCCTGTTGATTTGTACATACAATAATTTGATGTATAGAATTAGTCTCTGTTAAAATTAACTTCAAAAACATATATATGTGTGTCCATGCTGGAAGGTGTGCACTCGTCCTTTTGCACATGTATCTCTGACAAGCCTGGACCAATCATGTTCAATCATACATCTTGGGAAAACATATGCATATAACAATTTGTCACCATTTTAGAACTTGATGAAATCAATTAATTTTACACATACATCGTACAAATGATTCCAAAAGGTTTACTGCTTTCAGTTTTCTTTCCTCTTTGCATGACAATGATTTAAAGTTGCATGTTTTGCATTTTTGCTAAACTAAAAAACATATGTCCGATACTAATATGATTTTATTTATATTTATTTTACACAGTCAGTAAGTTCAGAAGACGTACTCGATTCTTAGAATTCCTTGTATTGGTTGTACAAAAAGCACTATCAGAGTCACAAATAGACGTGGCTATTGAATGGTGTGATGAAACACTTGAGTGGTTGCACAGGTAACATGTCTGCAGATAAAATTTAAATTTGATGAAGTAACATTTGACAACAGACTTTTTAAAGTTAATCAATATGGTTTGACTCCAAACTAATAAAACTTCGGTATTTTTACAAATAGGTCTTTGACCCCTATTTTTATTTAAAAAATTTTTTTCCTGGCACATTGTTTCATTTTCTTTTTATAATTTTATTTTGAATTGCATAATTTGTGTTTACTTTCCCCCCATACAATCCCATGTATTGACTTAGTCAGGGCAAAATAATTACATTTTTATATAAATGAAAAAAAAAACCATTTTCCACAATTGACATTGTGTACATGCAGCTCAGCAATCTATTTGCAAGGTATCAGCACTAACTAGAAAAATTTGTTATCTCATAATTTAATAAGGAATGTGGAACAAAAGTTTCTTTGACTCTCATGTTTAAAGAACACCAGTAACATCTTCACTGCTATAATATTTTATGATTTCCATTCTCTTGGTAATTAGCTTGATGAGATTTTGATACGGGTTACTGTTTGTTTGTTTGTTATTTATCAATCAATCATTATTCCTTTCTTGTTTGCAGACGTAATGAGACCTTATCTGCTATAAAAGCCACTCTTTCAAAGCAGCCTGGTGCTGTCACAGTCGCGGGTGATGATCCGAAGAAATTTGCAGCAGCTGTAGTGGAATATAATAAGGTAAGTTGCCTTTTGACCTGTTCACTGCATTTGTCAACTTTTGAAAACATTACATTCATATTTCCTGCAATTACTGCATAATCGTCATATACATATTGTTGCCAAAATGCCACCATATCTATATTGTATATTCAAATAGTGTGTACAAACAAATGTTTCCATTCCTCTAATTTGTAGTAAAATCAGTTATTATTCTTTGCACATGATGTCATCAGAATCATAACACAAACAGTTCACTCTAATAATATCATCGTTTTCTTTTGTGTGTGTTTTCTCGTTGATATATAGAATAAACCCCAGGAGAGATCGCCTGAGTCGAAGTCTCCTAGGAAAAAAAAGAAAAAGTATCAGCTGCTGATTAGTAGATCTGATGTCAAGTTGTCGGATGCTGAGAGACACAAACAGGAAGAACGAGAAGAAAAGGTGAGAAAACATCTCTCAACATATCTACAGAGCAATGACCATGACCAATTTATTTTGACATATGTTAACAATTTCATATTAGTATTGGTGTACAAAATACATCAGTCAAATATTTGAGATTGTAATATCACATCAATAGTTTTATTTATATTATTACCATAAAGATATATGTAAGATTAAATCCTATCTGCCATGGTAATCTTATACTTGATTTATATATAGGCTATTGAAAGCATGGAGGCTATCTTACCAGACTATTGGCACACTTACCACAGACGAAAGAGACTCAGAAAGATCTGTGCTGATGAGTTGCCATGGAGATGTCAGGTACTAAATGAATATTTATAATATTAATAATAAAAAGAAATACAACATGGAATACAGGATGTAAACCTAGTTCCACAACACTTCTTGACTCACTGCTTGATGACTCCGTCCCTCCCTCTTTTTTAAAGACAACCTGATTGACATTCCATTAGTGAGCAGTCTAGGCAAGGCAAACCCCAGGATTACAGAAACCATACTCAATTCAGTTCCATCAAATAAATACTCAGAAACACACATCTGTCCATTGTGCTGCATGATAACATACACAGGCAAATTTCTGTATCTGTTAATGTTTAGTATGACATTCATAGAGTTTTAACTTTCTAATGTTCTCTGTGTTGTTTTTAGATCAATATTTTGCTTGGTTTATGTCATTTTGCCAAATTTTTGAATAAGATTGATTTGAGAGAGAAGTTCATGCATGGCACTGCAACTGACATATTCAGGTAACTGTCACTACTCTGATTTTCTTTCTTTCATTTTGTCACAATAATTTCGTTTTTTTAATTTTTACATAGATACCATGTCTTGGTTCTGTTAACGTATGATTTATCACATTACATGGTTCCTAAGTTGTATTTGTAAAATTTCTGTGATAGAATATATTTTATACTTTTACAACTAACTGTCACACGCAACGTAATATTACCGTGATTGGTATAGTACAAGTGTGATGGTTCAAATACCAAAATGGCAACAGTAACAAAAAGACTTCCCTGGCGGCGATGATAAAATACGAACACGGAGCCAACAGATGAGGTTTCAACTGGTACTGGTATTATTATACTCTGCAAACATCAAGTACAATAACGCGGTAAAACTCCACTACTCCAATAACTAGATACTTAAACTTCAATACAATTCAACGAGATCTCCGATCTGAACTCAGTGCTGAACAACTCCCCTATATATACGGTACCCCCACTGTCTATAAATAGACCATTACATCAGCATACATAATGAGTTTGGAACTTACTACCAATTTCTAAAATGTTCCATTACCTTCTATTGCCTCCTACAGTGTTCTATTACCTATTCAACCATTTTCTAAAAAAAATCTAGAATATTCCACCCAGACACAGTACGGTTTTAGAACATTCTCAGTGACACAGAAGTGGTAAATAAGTCGTATGCGACACTAACACAGTGTGTCATCAATTTAAATGTACTTCTTTTGTTGCTACAGATCGTCCTACCTTGACCACGAATGGTTTACCTTTGAGACAGCTGGTACACTGGTTGTAGGATGGGATGGAGGACCGACTAGGCAGATGACTAGAGAAAATTTCAGACCACCCACTCATTCTGAGCCAGTCACTGATCCGTTGCAACAACTCAATTTCATGGAAACGGACAAGAAGGGATTCACCACCGCTATTGAAATTGCCGCAGCTGCAGCTGTTGGTATGTCTTTATGGAAGCGCGTGTTTGAATTTCATGTAA